CTAAAATGATATTTTTTTAATACGTATTAATTTTGGATCCCATATAAACTATCAAACATATAAAAATCGTGATTTTTATTATGTAAAATATTTAAAATATTTATTTTATAATTAATATATAAAATTTGTTATTTTTTTAATAATTTAAATCAATATGCATTGCTTGATAGTTCATATCAAACTTGATTAAAATACATTAGAATCATAAAACATAAGTAAATATTTAGAAGATATTAAAAATATTTTAATAATTTTAAATTATTATTTAGAAATTATGTAAGCTTAAGATTTTGCAATTGGATATATGTATATGTATAGTGTTTCTTTGACTTATAGATAGTATATGAATACATTATAATAGATAAATTTAATAAATATAAATATATATATATATATATATATATATATATATATTACCCACTTAATAAGAATATTACAATCATATTGTAATATTAATAAGAATAAATAATATTAAATAAAATTAAACATTGAAATTTATAATAATATTATTGTACTAGCTTAAATATCATAATCAATAGATATTCTAGAATATTTTGATTTAGGTAATTTAAAAAAAAATCTATAATAAATCAAAAAAATCAAAAAATTAAAAATCAAAAAACTTGTAATGTACAAAAATGAACAATTTCAGCAAAATGTTTTATGATTATAATGTGTTTTTATCAAGTTGCATACTATCTACCAAAATGCATGCACATTTATAATTTCTTTTTGTTTATATATGCTCTAATATAGTTTTATTTACTTAAAAATTATTAATTTTTTTATACATTTAAGAAATATATTTATAGTTTATATATATATATATATATATATATATATATATATATATATATATATGTTATTTTAATTCTTAAATCGTATCTTTTACATTTGTTGTACTAATTATTTTTAATTCTTACAAATAACGTTGGGATATTTGTCAATACTTTCTTTTTTTGTCTTTATTAATAAAATAGGTTTAGCTTGTAGAGACAAAAAAATTTATGATCTTATTTAAGTCGATGTTTTTTTTAAAGATATTTAGTAATTGAGAAGATATTATTTCTATAAAGTGTATTATTTCTAGTTTTATCTTTAAATGAAATTATAAAACGTTTTTATAAGCATAAAAATTCATATCTTCCATTTTTTAGTGCAAAAAAATTATTTTTTGTAAAAAGTGTATGTAATATATATTTAAGAAAATATAATAAATAATATTATCTTATATAATAGTTTGATAACTATTTGAGTATTTATTTTCTTTTTATTCTTATTAGTAACATTCAATTACTATATTAAAATTTCGGTGTCTTATATAAAAATAGTAGAAAATATAGTAGTATTAATATATTCTAGATTCTTATAGTAGTGATGCAATTTAGTAAATAAAAGTTTACAATTATATAAATCTAAAAATTTCAAAAACATTGACAAATTCTTAGCCAATTTCACTCTATTAAATTAATGTTTTTATTATATTTATTCATAAATTTATGTTAAACTAACTCCTATAATTAATATATTATGTCTAGGGTTTTTTTTGAAGTAACTAAAAAAATAGATGTGCTATTTAATAACCTGGTAGTTGACTATTAGAAAAATAACAGGATATTTCAAAGAATACATAATAGTCTCAATTATATAAGTTATATTCATTGGTTTTGGATAACTAAAAATATATTTAAATTTATTATCAAATTCAACACAGACTTTAGTTTAGTATTAAATAACCTTAGTCGTAAGCCTTTAGTTGGCTTTTGTTGCTAAAAAATAACTTGATTTTATGTTATTATATTAAATATTATTTTTAATATCTTATTTTATTTATTTATAAAATAATCCAAGATTCATGTGTAATACTTTTATTTTTTTTTATTAGTTGTATTTTTAGAACTCTGTTTTATTACCTTTTATGTGCATGAATAGGTTTTTAATAAATTTTTAAATAATAAAATTAGATTTGTTTTACATCTTCTTTTCACTTTAAGAAATTAAATATCATTCAAATATTAAAATTATTTAGTTATGGATTTTTGAAAATGTTTTATACATTTGGTACTTCTAAAGATATTAATATAGATTATTTTTTTGTTTTATTTAAAAATTATTAATAAGAAAATTTTAATTTTTAAAATTAATTTAATTAAGTAAAATTTAATTAATTAATAATTTTGGATAATGCTATTACTTTAACTTTTATTTAAAATAATATCTCGCTATTTTTTAATTACAGTTATCTTAAAATTTTGAAGATTCTTTCTGTTGTTTTAGCAACTGTATTAAATTATTATTATATTTGATTTTTGTGGTTATTTGCGATTGTATTGTTAATTACAATGTATGTTATATATATTTAATGGTAACATTGTTTGGTTTTGGTTAAATCTATTTTAATTCTTATTTGTAAGCTTAAAAAAGAAATTATATATATAAATATATAAATGCATCTATATATTAGATGAGAATTTTTATTAGTGATCTTTTAATGTAATTTCTTCTAGTATACATTTTTATTGAATTTTTTTTATTTTATTAGTCATAGTAGTTCTTTGAGCAAATATTATGTATTTCAACTTGCTAAAACTGTTTTCAAATATTAATGTTACACAAACCAAGTATGATTTAAAATTAATTATAATAAGTTGAATAAAAATATTATGCAGTGTTTTAAATTAACATTGCATTATTTGCAACACAAAAGATTAATTTTAATTTTAAAAAAATTGGTTGACACTTATAAAATATTTCGACTATTTTTTAATAATATAACCAAATATTGTTTTTTGATGAGAACTTTGTTTAAGTTTTTTCACATTATAGTAAAAAAAAAAAAAAAAAAAAAAAAAAAAGCTTTACGATTATGATAAAAATATTTATATTTATAATGTTAATGTAATGTTTTTTTAATAAAATTTTACTTTTTCAACATTTATTTATATATAGATTTGTTTTTGTATCTATTGTATTTATGGATCTCTGAACTCGTGTAATTTGATTAAATAATTGCAATAATTTAATTTTAATGATTAACTTATATTCATGTCATTACAATAAATAATTTGAGGCACTTTAAAGTGAAATTGTTTGGTAAGTTTTATAACTTGATTTTCTTAATTTTTAGTTTTTTTTTAATACAAATACTTCTTATAATTCTAACTACTATTCTTGAAAATATCTCAAAAATAAATACTTAAAATAAAAATTAACACTGTTATTTTAAAAGTAATTCACAGGATTTATTCTGAATCCAATTTTACATTAATTTTTTTCAATATATATATATATATATAAACAATTACGTTCTCTTCTATCATTAAATATTCCATTACTTTAAAGTACTTCAATAATAATAATAATGAAAAATAGCTCAAAGAATTTAAAGTTACAGTTACTTGCTTGTAATACTTCTATGTTATGGAATGTTATGCAGAGCTATTACATTACTTGCTTGTAATCCTTTAACATTGGCAAGTGCAAAACTATTGCACAATAATAATAAAACAGCAAATAACTGGAGAGTATTAAGCAAGATGGAAGGAAGTAGGATTATGTAGAAAAATATTTGGAGGTAAGCTTCTCTGTTGAGTCCATAGCCATACTTTGTCAACAGTTTGGACCCACTTTTTGATTTATTGTACTGTTTTGTACACATTAGAAAGCCATATCTTTGCAACTTTACACTCTTTTTCTATCTCCTGTTTGTCCAACTGAAGCCTTATATTTCCTCCAAATGATGTCATTACTCTTGACCTTTGAATGAAAAGCTATTTCAGGGGACTTTGTGCAGGAACTGGGTTTCACAAAGTTTAGTCTCCAGGGAGACTGCAGTGGTCAATGTAGAAACTTAAGCTACAACAGTACTTTGTTTTCTGAATGTGTCTCCCTTCAGTGGAAAGAATCTCCCTCCTCTGTCTTTAAAAAAATGTGTGTACATTTATGGTTGTTCCAGTTTTGACCAAAGCTTGTATGGATATATGATGAGTCCTGAACCTCTGCAGCCAAACGTGTTAAGTTAATGTGAAGATTGCTGATGAATGGATGTGATTCAGAGCCCTGATCTCTGTGCTGGTTAAATACTACCCACTTGCATGGCTCAGAACACAAAACAATAGGATGTTTCTATACAAACAGTATCGAAGCAAATGTGAACAAATGGTTACAACCAAAATCTTGATCATTCTTCTCAGCTACCGATAAATTCCATTCTTTAACCTTCTAACTCCAAAACTTAACCCTTCTTTACACAAGATGCTTTTACAACAAACAACTAATACTTTTTATTTTTTTATTTTTTTATTTTTCAGACAACTTGAGCTCGCAGAAGGTTCCATGCGTTCACCAAACAACAGAGAGAGCTTATAATTTTTCCTATCAGCGTCATCAAACTCGTAAGACTTGAGGTGAACACTTCTCGTGAACTTGGCCAGCGTCAAGCCAGCGTCAAGCCAGCGACCAGCCAAGTCTAAAGGATTTTTATTCTGCGCAGCCCATTTCGACTTCATTCATGCTTTCGGGAGAGCCGCGCAATAATCCACCTTCCGGAGTAATTTGGGAGCTTGCTTGTGATGACGTCGCGGCCAATTTCCCCGTGAGGAAGAGGTTACTTACCATCGCACTCAATTCTCATCTCCGGCGCAAGCATCTCAGTGACGCATGCTCACCGCTGCAGCACCACGCTCCGTTGACATTCACCACGTTGATTGTGGGTTTGGATGCGAAGAAGAAACCCCTGCCTGCCCGCTGACTGGTACCACGGTGCGGTACTTTGCAAGTGACTTCGTCAAGTGTATGTCCTCATTTTTCTGTTGCTACTCCCAATCCAGTTGCCCACATGGAATCTAGGTTGGGTGGCCTGGACAATACTAGAGCTAGAGGTGCTAGACTTACCATTTTCAGCGGAATGGGGTCCACTATCTCGCTGGTCATGACGACTTTGCCAGTTTTCCTGGGGTGGACTCTAGTCGCTCCAGTGCTGGACTTGTCGCAATTGGGGTATGGAATGAGAAGTGTACCGCTGTGTGTGTTGTCGACGCAAGGCAGGCGTGGTCAGGAGATTCAAGGGCTTTCGAATACGTCAATCGTTGACCTCGATGCTCTGTGTGGCTCGATACTCATCCTTTGCGTACCAGTGGGGTCCAGGCAGTCCATCGCTGCCAAGCTTGAAGAACAATTAGTCCGCCTCACAACGCCTTCGAGGTTTGTTACACCAGATTTACTCCAGAGCTTCGATAGCTTAGTAGGCACATCGAATTATCTTTAATATGCTAGATTAAAATTCAAAGAACCTTCGCAGCCGTATGTCCAGTGCGTAGTCTAATCGCGCTTGGCACCACTTTTGTTCGGTCGAGTCTTCGAACTTGCACCAGCAGGTCAGGAGGATGTTCTCTCTTTTTTGTGATTAGAACACCTTTTATTTTGGTGAAATAACGCTTCCCTTCTCCACCTATATTTGCATTCCGACTTCAGAAAAACTGAGAGTGTTTCAATTATGGAATCCTCGAAATTAGGAGCTTGTCTCATTCTTCGCATAACTTCACGACTGACAACAAGTTGCTGCTGAAGAGAAGTTGCGCATACTTGGATAGATATCTTCTTATTATTGAAGACCAGTCTGTGGGGTCTGCTCTGCTCTTTGCGATTGATCGTTTAGTGTCCGCACACTACGTAGTGCCTCAAAATATGTAAAGGACAGGGGAAATTAAGGAGTTTTTTTTTTTTTTTTTTTTTTTTTTGTTGTTGTTGTTGTTGTTGTTGAAAGGATGTAAACCTTTGGAAGGAAGTTGCAGAATTCCCAGGTCACTTAACCGTCGGCTCAGGGCATCAGTAGGTGAATCCACTGCCCAGAAAGACGTCATGCCCCTCTAGGCACAAATTTGCTTCCAGCGCCAGTCCCGTGCCCCTTTACTTCGGCGAGCTGATCGCAAATCACCGTTTACTTCGATCTCCTTCGAGTGATTCTCGCTTGGAATTCAGCTGGACGCTCATTGGCAGATGAATTTGAGGAGATTTGAGGCGGGTTTGGAGTGAAGCAGCCCTCAAGTCGGTGTGTTCCGAAGGTGAAGGTGGAGGAGGAGGCTAAGGCCGTCGTAATGTTGGATGGCGCTTTCGGCAGTGAGAATGGCTCTATGTGGATCGCTCCTGCAACGTGCTTCATTACCCACCACTCCCTCCAATCTGGTCAGTCTTCCTTCCGTCGTTATGTTGATGTGATTCCGTGCTCAAATCTCACACTGCGCATATGATGCAGAAACGAATTTTAAATGGTCCAAGGTGTTAGCCATTCATAAATGAGCACTTAAACTTTTCAAAATTCTCCAGAGTGCATACAGAATGTCCACTACCAATTTTTGAGCCATTCAACTCGCATGGTTTCACTAGTGAATATACGAGTAGTAGCGTTAATTGGAAGCTCAAGAATACATGATATATTATGTTCGGATTCCAGTCGGTAACACTTTTTTATAGGTTCTCAGTTGCAACTAAAAATTTAGTCGGATGACGAATAAACTGACGAATGTCTTTTGCTGCGTCAGCAGAGTGATCAAAAGCCGAAATGGTATTCCTTGTGCCAGCAGCCAAAGTATATTACCTCTTTCGTAGTTGTGCTCGTGCTCATCTTCACTCTCAGCAGCGTTCAGGTATGAAACAAATTAAAAGAAACGTGTGTGGTACATGGAATTTGTACAAATGCACCACTTTTTTGCTTTTCACTTCCTTGAGCATCCTCCAGTCTTATTTGTGGGCGGACAACCATGTCTTGGGTGTACAACATCAGTTTTGAAATAATGAAGAGCATTGTTGGGTTGCATCACTTAACGCTCTCGAGGATGTTCTCGAGAGTTCGGAGAAAAGGCAGCTGAATTGATTCATCACTTGACAGAGCGATCCTCTTTCCGCGTGTTACTTTCCGCGTGGATTGATGACCCAGGGATTGCGCTTACGGTTGTGCAGATTTCATTCTTGGATAGAATCGATTCATCTTTCAAAATCTCAGGACAGGTTATCTTCTGATTCCTACATTTACCAATCTTGGTCACAAGTGGCCTTCACTTAACTTTAAAGTCCAGACTGCTTAGGCAGCAATTTGAATTGTGAACTGCTGTTTCTGCAAAGTGGTGAATGTCGATTTTTAGGTCAGCGAACCTATGTTGCATTCCATTTCGATATCAATTTTGAAAGTACAGGGAATCTATACGTGTGCAGAGCAAGGGGTTATCGGTTGAAGGCACTGATGGATGTGATTTATCAGCAAATACATCGAGAAAATCGGTCACCGAGTTGAGAAGCAGGTCAAAAGGTCATGTAGCAACCGCACCATGCAGGCAAGACGGGGTAAATCTGCCGCAGGGCATAATTGTGGCGACCACAGATTTACAAATGCGGTCTCTCTACCCAGAAGATGAGAAACAAGTAGGGTTTGCGACAGAACCTCCTCTCTCTATGTAGTTGGTATCCATTTTGTTTAAGCATCAGAATTCATCTTCGATGTACAATAACGTCTTCTATGCTTCCAGGTCCAAAATTCCATGCCGAACAACCTGCTCGCAATGGCAGTGGGTATTAAGCAAAAGAAAGTAGTCAACGACATTGTCCAGAAGGTAATTGACTGACTCCGCTCTTCTTTTGCCCACTTCTGCTTCTGTTTCCAGATTGTGTAGATTTAGCCCCACTCAGTGTTTTCCTCATAGCAGCTTCTAATACACAGTCTCTAGATCGCGAAGTTTGCGCAAGAGATCAGAGAATATGTTGAGCCATCCTTATGGATTTTGTTGGTGTTGCCAGTTTCCACTCAGCAACTTCACTATTATGCTGTTCCACTACGATGGGATTGTTGATCAGTGGCAAGACCTTCCCTGGAACAATCAATCCATCCATATTGTTGCCTCGCATCAGACCAAATGGTACATCACCCACTTTTGTTTGCACCAACTTCTTATGCGTTTTACTATGACTTAGAGTTGGAACGGTCCTGTTTCTTGTTGAGTTTCTACTCAGAAAGAGATTCAAGCTGTCAGTTAGCAGCGGAGGGTACGAAGTCGGTGCGACTCATCATGTGTCCCACGCATGATCACTTGTGAACTAACCCAAAAGCTGATGCCTGGAGAATAGGTGGTACGCCAAACGATTCATGCACCCAGATATTGTGGACCGTTACAATTACATTTTCCTTTGGGACGAGGACCTCGGAGTTGAACATTTCAATGCTGAAAGGTGAAAAACCTTGATCCCTCACTTTTGTGTGGTGTGTTTATGCAATAAGGGAACCACTCTCAATTCTGTTGAACTTGAATTTTGACACATCCTCTAGTCTGGGTTTGTTGTGGAGAGGAGCGTTACTGACCATTACTTTAGATTGTTGCTTGAGGAACAGGCTGCATGGCAACTAGAGTGGAACTTAGTGTAATCCAGTCGGACGATTTGCTTTCAATTATGTACTGTCACCTATCACAAAGGGAAGGATTTGCTGTGAATGACGGATTCTGTATGCGTTGCAGGTACTTGGAGATAATGCAAGCCGAGGGTCTAGAAATCTCTCAACCTGGTCTTGATTCTCAATCATCAAAAATCCACCACCAAATCACTCGTCGTCATCCACACATGATCGCGCATAAGTAAGCTTATAATCTCTTCTTGTCTTTTGTGCTGCTTCCATTCTCTCCTATACAACTTACACTAGTATAATCATGCATAGTTAACAGACCGGCAGTTCTTACAAATGCTAAGGTCCAAGTTTAGTCCAGCTTGGTTTGTCTCTAATCTCAATTAACTTCCCCTTTTCTATTGTGATGTAGGTCAATTCTTACAAACTCGTGCAAACCAGAGAAGAAAGCAGTTCCGTGTACAGGGTAAGGGCTCAGTTTTCAGGAAGGAAGACAGCTAATTGTGCACTTTGTTCATCATAATCTTCACTGTTGTAAGTTATTGTATCAAACGGTTTTACAACTCTCCATCGTCCTACAGATATGTGGAGGTAATGGCGCCTGTTTTTTCGAAGGCAGCTTGGAAGTGCGTTTGGTATATGATCCAGGTAATATTGATGTTTTTGTTTTCTTATTTCAAGCCTGGAATGGTTTACGCTTCAATTCGTTAATCATTCGTATCGTCCAATCAGGTGGTAGCAAAGTAGAATCATGCACTTTCAAATTTGATATACCGTGCGGGATTAATATACTTCCTTGTACAGAAAATATAGCATGGCATTACCTGTCTTTGGCCGGACGCAATCTAATCCTATGATACCCGATCGATGGTGGGTTGAAACAGAATGATTTGGTTCATGGGTGGGGCGTTGACTTCAAACTTGGCTACTGCGCTCAGGTATGCGTCGTCCTTGTTCACCAGCCACCTTAAATTGGAGAAAAGAAATGGATATCGCACGGGATCAGAATGAGCGTCTATGATGGGTGGGAGAAAACTATCTCATATGGTTTGTGGATGTTGGTGCCAGGGGTTGCGAAGTGAGAAAGTGGGTGTGATCGATGCAGAGTACATCCTGCACAAAGGCATTCCATCTCTTAGTGGGGCGAGTGCGAAAAATGTAAACCGACTTCCACATCTATCATGCATCCGTAGCTCCCGAACAGCCAAATTTCGTGATGTTGAACTGACATACTCTTAGCGGAGGGATGTCCAGTAACTTTTGTCTAGAATCCGGTGTGTTAACTCAGACCATCGCAACGCAGGTCGATTTCGACAATGTAACATAAGTAGAACTAACAAGGTTTCACTGCTTGTGGTGGGCTGGATCGAAAGGCTGCTCAGACGGCGTACGATCCTCGCAAAGAGGTATACAATACACAAACCATCTACCTGTCCCACATTGAACTCCGCTCTCTCTCTTAACCAAACTCTGCGCTGCTCGCGATATCCTACGCATCAGTATCAATTACTCACTCTATCACAAAATTCTTCACTAAAACGTGGTCCGCTCGGCAAACAGGTGCGGAGGAAATCCAGCCAAGAAATGCTGGAATTTCAGAAACGATGGACGGAGGCCGCGCGGGATGACCCAACATGGAAGGATCCGTATGAAGAGTACGCCGCAGCTGAGATGCGCTACGCAAATGCGAGAGCATCATTAGGACTGACGTAGTTGACAAGACAATCGGCTCCGGAGCTTCACCGACGGCGCTGAGTTCATGACCCGCATGCATCAAGCACGGTGCTCGAATCTGGATGAGAGCAGGATTGCTGCCGCTGCGATCGATCCTGATCCAGACACCAACATCCAATGCTGTGAATTCTCGAAGACCCAGTCGCCGTGCTTGTTCCTCTCAATCTGACAGGCTCCGACACCTCGCATGATCCGGTTTTTGCACATATACCATGTTCATTGCTTCTTGTTAATTTCTATATATATATATATATATATTGTACCATTTCACGCAGTACCATTTCACCCAGTGCTTCCCATTTACCGTTCTCTGGTTTTCTGCTGCTTGAGTTTTTATTGACTGCTTCTGATCGGAATCCATTTAACATTAGTAATGCATGTCAATTAGTGACAGACGGTTTTAGCTTATTGTGCATAATTATTTTCCAAAATTAATAAGCTTGCCCTAATCTATCCAAATGTTAATCAATTTACACTAATTTGTGACTTCCTTTTATGGATGTTTCAGCTAAAATTTAATACTAAATATTTGCATGAAGCTTATTTACATTTGAGAAAGATATTAGCTAATATAGTGCTTGTTTCATCCATTTTGTAGGACACTCACTGTCTAAAATTTCATTTTCCTGATTGTTCTAGTCACAACCAAAATTTAGTATTTATTATTATTTTATAGTTCATGCTTTGTACAATAATCATTGTTGTATTTTACTCAATAACATCATAAAATCAGTTTCTTTGTCATTAGAATCATCATTTTTATTTATTTATTTTTGTTATTTTTATTACTTGTCTAAGAATAAGATATTAGTTATTTAAATTTCTATATCATGATGGCTGATGATTGATGCAAATGAAAGAGTTTGTAGGTGTTTAGGGTGGTTTCTATAGTGTTACTAATGTATAAAATTAGAAGTTAAAAATAGGTAGTAAAACATCTTGAGGTTGATTGTGAGATTTTTAATGACAAATAATTTAGGATACTCTCATATTAAAAATTTCGTTTGAGAACATATATATACATATAAAAGTAAACCAAATCCAAACACATGAGATTTAACCTATATTAGCTTGTATTATATAGAATTTGAAGCAAACTTATTTCTTGAGATTTTGCACAAATTCAACAGTACATTTAAATAGAATCCTTTTACACTTCTTATTTAAAATCGAATTAGATATTCTATGATCAAAACCATTTATTTAACATAACATTTGTTGTTAAATACAAATATACTCATTATATAATTACCATTTGAGTTCTTTCAAAGCATAAATCAAAATTTAAAATAGAAATATAAAATTCATGAGCTACCCATGATTTAGTCTTTAAATTTTTTGAGGTGTAAGAATAAGCATGAAATGAATATAAGGTGCTGGTTGAATTTCAAAGAAAATTTTATTCTTTTTGTTAAGAAATTAGAAAAAAATGATAAAATGAAGATTTCACAATTTCAGACAGTTATGGAATTACTTTCAAGTCTGCTACTACACTGTCTCTGCTAATTAATTAAAACGCTTCCGATCTTAAGAAAAATGTAAAACAAGAGCAAAACACACTTAAACTTTACTGCGGGTGGTAGGAAAGTATTAAAAAAGTGAAAGCTAGTGGACGTAAAAAGTACAAAGCGATAGATGTCGTGAGCCCGATTAGATCGTGATTGGGTACTACAAGTCATTTATTGGCCCAGTCGGTTAAACTTAGAATTCTCTGGAAACCCGCTCTGAGCCACGTCGGGAGTTCGCATTCACGCCTGGCCCGGCCCGGCCCGGCCCGTGACTTGCCTTCGACACGAGAAGACAAAGTTTGCCTCCAAGCGGCACAGAGGCCATTCCTGCAGAGAGGTCACACCATTGCAAGCTCGTCACGATCGCCGCAGCAAACGCCGTTTCCGAGCTCTCATTGTTGCAGCAGTTCGGTTGTAGAATTTTTGTGTAGAGATCGGTGCATTGCAGTGCAGTGAGAAGCTGGCGCAAACGGAAGTATCGTCGGGGTCGCATGGCCCGACCAGCAGGGACCGTGATGCTGCCCCTGACTTTATGGCGGGCAGTGATGAGCACAAGGCCGTGCTCGTGCAAGCCGAAATGCAGCGCATGAAGCGCCTCCCCTCCGGAAGCTCTTACGTTTCGAACCGCATCAAAGTGCTGGACAAAATGCTGCAGCTTCTTGGGAAGGTAATTTTTAAAATTGTTTTTGCGCGGTTTGGTGGAGCGGTTGACACTTGGTCCGAATAATTCAAGGCGATTATGAACAGTGTTTGAGTTTGTTTTCGTGCGGGATAATCTGCTCTCCGTTTTGATCGTCATATTTTGTGCCAATGTTGGAAGTCTGACTATTATCTGCTTAAGTTACCGGTCCATGGACGTTTAGATGCGGCGTTGTGGTGTGTCTATTGACGAGTTGAAGCTGGAGGGCGTGAGATTTCACTGTAATTACATCATATTTGGTCGGTGGTTTGCCTGATTCGTACGTCTACGCAGTTTGATTCTTTGCTGATGAACAGTATTCAACACCTGTTGCAGAAATTGGCAGGGTCGTACATTGTTCATGTCTGTGGAGGGTTTGGAAAGACTTTGACACATTTGGATGCCCGTTTGAGTTCTGCGAACTGACCTTTACATGTGTTGCGGTGATAGGTGCGAACTAACACGGAGGGTGAAGAACTGGAACTTCTTTTTGCAAACATGAATTTCTGAAGTGTTTATTGTTGGATTGCTTTGCACATGGAAACACCTGCGCATGAATCGATCGACAATGACCATGGATCATACAAACACATTGTGAAATACGGAGTTTTGTAAGAATATCTCCGTAGATAGCAACTTTCTTCATGTCTTCCACTGGACGTGCGTAAATTTAGTATGCTTTAGTAGGGCTGTAAGTAACTATCGTAGCTAAAGTACCATGTGACACAATGTCACTAATCCTAAAATTTCCATATGGAAACCCGACAAATCCCTGTAAGATCGGTATAACATATCAAGAAAGTTTTGTACATTTATGGACATGTCCGATAAATACAAATCCAAACATATACTCATGTTTTTGCGCATGAATTCAAAGGACAGATTTCCTCTGTATATGAATCCGCTGTTTAGCGGCAAGGCACTCAGCTTCTCTTTCCTGTTGCTGGATGTGAGAGGGATAGATATTTGCAGCAGCTATATTGACTTCAAATTGTGGTTCCAATTGGCACTGGCGAGGGTTCTCCATGCAGCAGATTGCTTTGGGTAATCATTCACATCAACGAAGGTAGGGTTCTTGGTGATAGATCGAGCGACATCACGCGTGGGAGTATTCTCAGTCCAAGGACTACAATCATGGTATGCTACTTACTGTTGATGCTGATATCCAACTAGAATGAAGGTGATTTAGGTCAAATAAAGATGAATAGGATTTCTGTTGCTGTCTATGGCCAAATAACTTTCGTAAATAATTTGTGAAGTTGATTGATTAATCAACAATAAAGTTAGATAGATCAGGCATGTATTTTGTGGATTGGTCCATGGATGATATCTTATAAACAGTATTGAATTAAAATGCTGTAATCTTGCATACAGAAGATAAATTGTGTAATCTTAATTTTAGTTTCAGACATATTTCAATTACATTTTAAGCCTCCTTTTGTAAGTTCTGATACTTTTCTAAAAAATCTTCATAGGTATTGTATGTTTAGGACTTAGCCTTTTTCTATTTGAACCACGATAATTTTTTTGATCTTAAAAATCTTAAATCTATGAATATATTGCAATGACTTGTGCATACCATGAAAATGCCACAGGTGGTACAATCATTTCTTAGGGTGCTTTGTTTTTGTATTGTCAAACTATACAGCAATTATATGTCTACCATATTGAGTGTTCGCAAAAATCACCATGAACTATCAAAACTATTTTGTTTCATCCATTGAACTAATATTTTTCAGCATCCTCTTTGCAATGTGCAAATTTGCTATCATCAAATTATATAATGTTTTTAAAACTTTTAATTGCATATAAATTCAATAAAATTTACTGAATGATCATTTTGTGTTCATCATTTACTTGCAATATGCTTTTATATTATGTAGAAGTAGAATCAATCCATGTTGAAGAATATTGAGGTAAGAGTGTTCAGGAATTCAAACTTTTATATCAGAAACCATTCAAAATCTGAAGATGATTTTACATTTCAAGTATTTCACAATTTGTGTCATACAATAGAATGATTGTTTTAATAAACCTAATTTTGAACTAACTTTGACATTGATATACAAAGGTAGAGGATTGATAACATTACACCCCACGTGACCTCCTTGCAGAAAACTAGCTGATAATATGCCTCATTCTTGTGCGCAATTTTCTCTTTATTTGCTTTAGGAAAGGGTGGTGATTGAGAGGGAGATGGTGAATATTTTATGGAAAAATAGGTTGCAAGCCGGTTTTTTTCAGAAAAGCGATATTTGTCTTAAAAAATATTTAATTCAAAATTTTATTTTTATTCTTTATTTATTCTATTGATGAAGTTAATTATTGGGTTGCCAAATGTGCACCAATTATGGAAGCACACTTTTTAATCAATTTGAATTGTGTGGAGGTCAAGTTGGGTGCAACTATATCAATAGGGAATGTAGCATTAACAATTCTCTTTATAAAACTCATATTGATCAACAGACATACGATACTGCAACTATACAGCTAAGATTCATGACATGACACCACACAGTCAATCATCCTCCTCACACTTAGACAAAACCCAGTCACCAAAAGCCTCAGAATCGCAATACAACAAGTTTCATGGTAGAAAGACAAAATACGGATTTATGTGACAGATTCCACAAATGCATTGAAACCCTGTTCGAATTTACCCGCATAGTAGACAACACACACCAACATTATATAGCATTATTGTAGCTTTATGAACAGTCTGCACGAAGCCCTAAAACTGTGTGTCGGCGTCGTCACCGACGCTGATTGAAGATCCGCGTCGCATTCGCTCGCGTCGGAGTAGTAAATATTGCAGCCACAGCGATGGCATCGATCGCAGCAAATTACAGCCGCGGGTGGAAGGAGGAAGGCGCGATGGTGGGGTGGTTCAGCTGAGACGGCAGATGGAGTAATCACCTTCGAAATGGCTGCGCGGCACCCACCACAACCCATCAGGGCCTCGCTCAACATCCTTGTAATCTGATCCATGTTCCGGCACTGTGTGATCAATTTCGACGCAGAATTCCTCCTCTGTTTTGACAGTTCTTCTGTTCCTAATGCTGATCACTCGATACCAGACTGTCGCGTCCTTCTCTGATTTGGTAGGTTTCGTAGCAATGTTTGGTGCTGCATCTGATCTTCGGCGTCGAGTGTAGACTGAAATGTGAGACCCCTTCTTAAGACTGTCCTCGCAACATATGCCCTCCCTTTCTGCAGCTACGAACGGTTCGATTTTCACTTCGGGGGAAGCATGCAGTGAAGTCGGAGTGTGTGACTGGTTCGCATTCCTGCTTTCAACTTTGACGTGCATGGACTCAGGAGAAAGATAGACAGGACTGTCAGGAGGCCACAGGGATTGAATTTGCTCTGGTGGCGTGATGTCTGGTTTTACATCTTCTTCACAAGCTTCATTCCTCGCTTTAAACCCAGGAGCCCTAGGAGGAAAATCCTCCCGCCGACGTTTCGAAAAGTGGTCGTTCATTACCATCGTCTGTAGCTCCTCTATCAAGCTTCTTCTCGTCTTTTGAGAATTACCGCCTATTGTTTCCACAGTGTTGTCACCGGGCAGCTCCTGAGCCAGCGAGTGTCCTTCACTGAGAGGGATCCCTAGGGACTTGTTACGTGATATGTTGTTCACAACGCGGTAATGCACATCCCATCCACCTCTACTTCCGGGGAGTAAAGGCACTTCTACGACTCTGAAAATGTGGACGAGAAGAAGGGGAATCTTCAAATTGAGGACCTCGAAGACGCACGCGTCGCCTTCTTCCAAATAATGGTCGCGGGAAAAGGCTGCCCAACCATCGCTTAACCCACCATGAAGGCTGTTGACAACCCATTGGCCAGGCCACTGGAAGCCGAATTCATCTTGGACAGTGATGGTGGTCCTCTTCCGCGGCATATGTAGCCTTGAGAACTCCTGTGGAACGGTCTGCACCGCAAGATTCATCACGTTAGCGCTTGTAAACATTGCAACATCAAAATCCAATGTACTGCTGGCATAATTCTACAAGCAGCTCATTAAAATTTTCGTCAGTTGATTAGAAACAAGGGCGACATATCTGTCACATTACCAGCCAGAAGCCGCGGTACACATGAGAGGGCATCATCACTACCATGAAGCTGGGACGCTTGGTTTGGCTTTCGAACTTCAGAGCAGCTGCTCTCACTCTGTCGCGCTCCTCAGCAGTGACAGGACGTCTTCTAGATCTCCATTCTGTGGGGTTCCATCCAGGCTCCAATGCAAACGATCCTTCCCGGACGTGATGTGATCTCTTGTGTCTAAGAGCACGTCCAATTTTGTCTCTTTTGCGCTCCGCTGTGTAACCATGCTGCTTGAGTATTTCCGAAATGGATGGACCGTGATCATGATTCACATCTCCAGGATCCGTTGCTCCACACCCTGTACCAGGGCCTTCATGGTCACAGCTTTCTGAGCCATCAATCTCTACACCAAAGGCCAATTCTTCACTATCCTCGACTTCCTTGCAGCATGTGCTCTTAGATTGTGATTCTGGCGTGAGAACCTGGTCTTGGGTTGTATAACTGGAAGTGAGGTTGACGGGGTGAGGGACTGACTCCAACCCGACCCCGCTGAAAACACGAACTGTGAAAGAGTTTTTGGCCACCATTGTGAAGAGTAGAGAATCTCCTGGTTTCAAGTAGTTGTCAGTGACGAATACTTCCCAGCCCTGACGGAAGCTCACCGCACCTGTAGTGGCCGCAACGTGCACTTCCACAAGCTGCAAGACTCTATTTGAGCCTATCAAGTCCGCAACCTTACACCCACGCAAGCCACTCCCATGGAGATCCATGAACGCCTTCGGAATTACCTGCCAACCAGCAACTTTTAACAGGTTACGTGAGAATCTTCTGTAGGGCAGCTTCAAACAGAGTTTCTGAACCTTTCCAGCGATCGATCAACATGCGGAAAGGGTTATCCTTCGAACACGCAGAGGCATTGAAAAAGAATCTAAATGAGCTTACAAAATTGCTCCTCAAATCATTCTCCACAACTGTTTTCAGAAAGCACAAAGGCGTCGTAGATAATGTGTCGAATTTGCCCAACCCGCTTGCTGGAGCAGCTTGCGGAAGACTCTCTTTATGACTACCCTCTGATTTCTCAGCGGGATGCGTATGAGCGGTCGAAGGGTCCATTACACGCTCTAACATAGACCACCAAGAATGCACACGATTGTGGAAGTATTCGCAAGTCTTCTTACAGACGGATCTTACAGCTCCCTGCACATAGGGATCAAAATATTAATGTTTAAAAAAATAAGAAGAGCATCACGGCGTCAGACAGTATGAATAAAAACGTTGCAAATTCTAACGTCTCATTAATGTTGGGGGTTCTTTGCAAAACCCAAAAGGTCACTCAAATCACGAGTGTTGCTTGAGAACTTTAAAGTACAAGGAGGAAATGGGAACGACCTTTCAAGATCCACGTGAAATACCCAAGAAAATACAAAGTGGTGCAGTACTTCCAATGTATTGGAGCGCTAATGCTGTTCAGCTCATGCTGAATTAATATAACTGAATTCTACGAAAGACTTCAAAATAAGCAAAGACTAATCTTAGCCAGAATAGTAGTGCTCTTGCGAAATGATACTTGGATGTCTACTTGATAAGGTGAGGCAGGACCCACAAGGTACAGCTACTTGCATGGATATGATCGGTTGCGAGATTGTGAAGCGGGTCATCACTGAAAACCATTAAATTCGGAAGAACGGCGGCGGCAATGATTTAACCCTTAGCTCAATGCATCATGACGAATGCGAGACTCATTTACTACCACTTCCTTAACCGAGCAACAAGAATTTGCTCTGGCAGGCGGGGATGTCGATGTAGACTCACTCCTGATTATACGCCGGATCGAGGTGTGATCGTAGACATATCAAGCTCCAGGCCATTCGCGCAACAAAGTCAGACTCATCTCTCAGGTTTCGCAATCTTTCCGTAGTGATAAGCATCAACGGCACCATTCAATTCGCCCTCCTTCAGCGATGCATTGTGCTATCATATCGAAGAAGCAGCAACTATATGAGTCCCAGGAGGTTGATTGAAGGGCTCAGTTACAGACAATTGAGCACCTTGTTGCTTGATAGTAAGCCCTGGTATGTAACTCCAGCACTGCTGCATTTGGTTTTCATTTGTCCCAACAACTATCAATTTTGTGACATCAATGTGCATGTCTGTGTTGAAGACTGTCGTGGGTGGCTTCAAGTAGGTGTAATTAGTTCTGGAAGCATTGTCAAGTGACTAAGTTTAGTTATCAAATATGGAAAACTTTACGTTTTTTTTTTTGGAAGTCAGATTGTAAACAAAAGCTTTAGTGCACGCAAGGATGTCAACTTATCTGCGATGTTCGGGGGGATTTAACGATTTTAGTAATCTTGCATGTACCGACAAGATTTATTTTTAAGTACTATACTTGAATAAGAATTTAATTGCATATTGTTTCTAATATTTTCTTATACAAGTTGGTATATAATGAGTGAGAGAATGCCACCTATAACCTAAACCATTATTAATAATTCCATAGAAAATAAAATTTTAAATAATGCCAATAGCCAACATAAAATATAATAGATCATAACAAAAAAATCAAATCAATGTCATGAAATTCAAAGGCCTGTAAATTTTAAACAAAAATGTCTAATTAAAATATATGGATAATAAATGGTTTCAAACTCTCCTATTTGTATTATTTAAAATTCACAGTTCATAATTTGTTATGCTATCTGTACAAGAAAGGTCATGTAAGAAATTATTCTTGAAAAATTAAGACCAGAATCCCTATTCTAAATTCATAAATGTGAGATTGGAGATACTGAATGTTTTGAAATTTCTTCACTTTTAAAGGATTAATTCAAAACTTGTAGATTAAAAGTGAATTAGTTATTAACCATTATAAGCTTTAGACTTATTACTGAACAATTATGCATGTTTGTAAATTAATTATTCACTTACAGAATTTATATAACTGTTGCTTCGTTTGTAGAAAAAAGATTTGCGATACGTTAGAACGGAAACTTGGTTTCAACAGTGCAGGACTCGTAACACCCTTGATTAACTTGATTTTCAAGATGCTCGATCAGAACATATTTCTATTAATACGTATCAGAGAGCAAAAAAGATGTTACATATCACCTTAAACAATATATTTTACTATTGTCATTATAGCTGTACAATCTCTTTAACACAATATATTACAATTGCATGTGTATTATTTGTTTTGCTCGAATTCCACATTTTATCAACATAATACATGATTTCTCATGCTAAAAAGATTTGGTACTCTTTAGAAAGGTTGGAATGTGCTAAAGAGCGGGAACTGGCACCAAGAAACTCGTGCAGATAACCTGGCAATTGAGCTGAAATTGGAGAAATGCTCTTAGAATGATGTCGACAAGGTGCAAAGTGTGCTCGATTGCGCAGAGCACATGATTTTGGCCTCCCCTGTGAAAAAAAGAATAAGATCATAGGGCATTAGAGGCATGTAATTTACTCGCATTCAATTACTTGCATTCAGTTTACTTGCATGTAATCAGCCAAATTCTTGGAGCAGTATGTGGATAAATCTCTACGAATCTTCCGCCAATTCTCTCATCTATCTATTTACCTGAAAAGGAATCGAAATTCTTCAGCTGTTAACAAAATCAGATGGATAAGGGGGTTACTCTTCTAGTGGAGTTGCAAGAACTAGACATAATTTGTTCTCTTGAAGACAACATATTACTGTGCTGTGTTCGTATGTATAAACCCTGTCTAAATAAAAATGATCCCCTGATTATGGAATAGGACGCGTAGTGCATAAAGTAGTTAGCGTCTCTGGGCATCTTAGAGACTTCCGTTGTATTCACGTGTATTTCAATTCGACTAATTTTGTGACGAGGCTTTCCACAATAACATATTTGTCATTTGATGTGAAGATTGTAGTAGAGTTTCTAGTCTAAATGCCAGGTACAGCTTGGAATCCTGTTCCCGTAATGGTAATTTTTTGCCATTGCATTGAATAATAGAACCATTACACCAACCATATAAACATGGTCATACTTGCTGGTAGCTAACTACATAAATGCCGACTTGTCTAAATATTTGTAACTAGATCTCGAAGTAGTGCCATAGGCACAATTTACAGGCGAGACTTGGTGTCGTTAATTGGGGCGCTCTGCACAATTAAGAAACGAATAAGTGAGAAAACAGAGTTTAGTTACACCAGTGATTTTTAGCTAGACCTATCAGTACAAATGTTGTGTTCAAAGACATACTACGAGAAAGACTGCGTTGCTGTATCATCTCAAATAAAATAAAATAAAATAAACGTCCAGACCTAGGAAATAATGTGCGCACAAATTTTCATAACGCACTAACTGCGTGCAAATCATATTAGGAATCCCCTACTGCAATTCAGACTCCAAAATACAATATACTGGAGAAGTTACCAGTCTTACACCACTCGCAGCACGCTCTTCCAGAAATGCGCAGGGCTTGAAGAAGCCACCGTAGGCCCTTGCCCAAGTATCTAGCCTCGAACAAATATACTTGGCTCCAACTATATCAGCCCAGCAAACTATGCCACCTCTGTTCATGATAAAGTATTACAACAGGTAAGTGATCATGCATGATTACTATGGGAAAGAAGCTCACGATAATTCCTCCCAACTTAATTAACAAAGAAACTCAAAATGCTTGTAGATACATATGATCCAAAGAACCAAAAAACTAAGCCTTCGTGACCACGTACTGAACATCTGCTCCTACTGTGAACTAGTAAGAAGATAGTATAATACATATCAGGCAGAATGCTAAATGTCATCAAAGTTAAGAAGTATAAAAGACATGAACGCACTGTAAAGGAGAGAACATTTGACAACAAAAAAGAGGAAAATCTAAACTGATGATTTCAAACTGAGAAATATCAGAGATTCTTCCACACCTGTATGGGGGGAAACCCATTCCAAGAACAGAGGCAATATCTAAATCAGAGGCTTGCACCACAATCTTCTCTGCCAACACGCGGCAGGCTTCGTTGACCACTGGGAACATTATCATCTCCACAATATCTTTATCGGTCATTGCCAAAGGCTGAAAATGTACCCACAAAATCACCTCTTAGATAAGTGGAAGGAAACACTTCTAATACAAAAATTATCTGCAAACTTACGCAGAATAATTCATAGTAGGGTAACCACGATAATAAAAAATAAAAGAAAAAAGAAAAAGAATGCAGCATTTGTTAACATAAGAAATTCCTCACCTTGCCATTTGGCATGATGCCAGATTCTGCTTGAGATTCCTTAATGATCTCCTTAATTTCAGGTGCTGGACGAGCCTTTCGCTTCTCATCGTACACGTAAAATCCTTTTCGATTTTGTTCTCCTGCAAATGGAACATCAACATTAATATAAGCTATTCCTACGCTTTCACTACCTCACCTCAAAACTTCATTTACATTTCAAGCTCAGTGTATTCACTTTCCAAAAGAAATACAGTAATCAATACTCACCCAAGCGTTGAGCTTCCAACATTCGTGGAAGCAACTTAGAAACATACACGCGGTCAGGGAAAGCCTTCACAAACTGAGCACCAACTGCAGCCCCAACTCCAAAACCGACCAAATCTGTAAGCCTGCAAACCCACCATGTATTTTAAATTCAGTTAGTAAGCTTGCAAATTATCACCACAATACATTCAGAAAACATTCTCTAGAATCCAATAATTCCTAACGTCTTTTATTAAATACAACGAATGACCTACCTAAATGGTCCCATCGGCATGCCCCATGATTTGATGGCATTGTCTATACGGTAAATGTCAACTCCGAGATCCGAGAGCATCATGGCTGCCATGGTATACGGGAAGAAGACCCGATTCACAGCAAAACCAGTGCAATTCCCAACAAGAACTGGCGTCTTCTTAATAGCTTTCCCCAAAGCCATGAGATCCACTATGGCTTGCGGTGACGTCTTGTCGGTCCGCACTATCTCCAATAGCGGCATAATATGTGCAGGACTGTCAAAACAAAACACAAAGAATGAGGGCAAGTAATTTTCCCTATGTATATGACTAAAATATTACCAAGTTTACCAGGAAAAGCAGAAGCGGAAGAACCTGAAAAAGTGAGCACCAATGAGGCGGTCTTGAGAGCGTGTCTTGGCACCCACAAGATTGAGATCTATTGTGGATGTATTAGTAGCTAGGATACAGTCATTCTTACAGTTCTTCTCCAAATCGACAAATATTGATTGCTTAAGGTCAATGTTTTCAATCACAGCCTGTAAAGTGCCAAACAAGTTAACAACCAGCCAACGATGAAAACATAACTGCCAGCACAACTCAATACCAATTGGCAAATTAAGCTGAACGTATAACATCAGTTAAAAACTAATGTGTTGGTGTATAACATTCCCAAATCTTCGATTCTGCAAGAAAACAAGCCACCCCCACCAAGTTGACAAGACTTCTTCTCACCTCAATCACCATATCCACACTCTTGAAGACGTCATAGGTCAAGACACCTTTCACAAGTGACAATGTCTTCTCAAATTTCTCCTGCGACATTTTACCTTTCTTGACACGGCTCTGAAGATTTGCTGCACAATAGACGTGAATCACACACAAAAGACTACCATTAGACAACGGTAAACGATAAGTTCATAGCGAAACTTCAGCGTTGTTTAGCTTATTCGAAGCAACACATACATAATAAGTCGTTTCGTCACAAAATTACCTTTGACGCGTCCAAGTCCTGCCTGCAAAAACTTGTCGTTGATCTCCTTCAAAATGACAGAGTATCCACTGAGTACTAATGCAGTGACAATTCCTGAACCCATGAGCCCTCCTCCAACAACTGCAACATTTTGTATCTTCCTTGGCTTTAAACCCAACTCCGCAATTCCAGGCACCTGCAACAGTGGGTTAGACAGCATGAGCTTCTTCACTCAATGAAATAGATCAAATACCTTGCAATAAAAAATGATAATAAGAATCCAAGGATTTAGTGTATTCGGAGCGTTACTGCGACCCTCACAGCGACTCATATTCAATCTAGTAGCTCTAAAAGAAAACATTCATTGCAACTCATTGATACCATACGCACATAAAGCTTATCGATGCAAACATCGAACATAATTACCTTGGTGGTGGCTCTTTGAGCAAAGAATACATTCACAAGACCCTTGGCGTTGTCTGAGACCACTGCAGCTGCAAATGCTTCAGCTTCCTGGGAACATTAAGGAAAAATAATTAGAAGGAAAACAAGAAGCAGAAGAAGAAACTAACGCTGAAACGCATTTATTGATCAAATCTTTAGATAGTCGACAAAGACTTTAACGCGCGGACATGAAACACGTCATATTTCAATCAACACAGCTAGATACCAGAAGGTTTATTAGCAGTTATCCGAAACCATCCCTCACCGCATATAGTCCCTATTCAACTATGATCATGTAGCAAGTTGATGTTGTAAAGTGAAGTGTGTTACAAACACCCGGAAAAAAGCATTACCTTCAGATTGCCAGCATAGCCACCAGCAATTACTCCTTCCTCGACAGCGTCAAGACACAATAAAGGATGAGTTAAGTTGGGAGCAGTTCTTTTCACTTGAGCGCGGGCAAACTTAATGATTTCTCGAGCTTCACCCAAGGACTCTAGCTTGTCCGTACGATGCAAAGAAGATAGTCGAGGCTTTTTTCCTGATGCAATATCAAGTGCCCATTGACGTGCAGTGACCAAAAGATCCTTTGGAGACACAATCTCATCAATAAGCCCAAGCTGCTTGCCTTCCTCTGACGCTATGGGTTTTGATAGCTGCAGATCACAAACACAGCGGCCAACTCACATTGAATTTACATTCACACCTGTGCGACCGAAATATGTGAAAGAAATCGTCACCTCAATAGAGCTATTTTAAGATTAGAAACATTTCTACCATGCATAGCAAGTGAGGAATTGGCAAATTAATACTGCTTTCTACACCGCTGTACAAGGACATATTCATCTCGTAAAAGACCCAACTCATTCTTTTAGAAACGTACCAACATCATTTCGATGGCCTTGGTTAAACCAACCAAACGAGGCAAGCGCTGCGTTCCTGTTACCCATTCCAAAAAGTGCAACCCAACGTGATAAAGTCGAGTTAGAGAGCGAATGTCGCTAGAAAAAACCAAAACAAGGGTTTCAATACAGCTTACAGTGCATAGCCCACTTAGACAGCCGGAGAACACGTCCTAAAGTCAGTCTTGTCATACTGAAGGTTCAAGCTAGAAGGAATCGTACCACCAAAACCAGGTATGATGCCCAGTTGAAGTTCAGGTAATCCAAGCTGTGCTTTTGGGGTTGCAATGCGTGCATGACATGACTTAACAAAAGAAGAAAAAATAACAATAAAAGTGTTAGCTACGAAAAATCGAAATGCTGTCATAGAAAAAATAAAATGAGCTGCCACAGAAAGATAATACTTCTGCCACAAACAAAAATTATTATCCTTGGTCACGATTAATCGTCATAAAGATCTACTTACTTGCTGAGAGAGCAGTGAACAGTCCAACATTTCAACGGTGACGAACACATAGAACAATGGGCCTGTCTTAACATCGTCACTGGACGAATAACCATAGATTGTGCAGAAATTGGTGCATGTAACGTACCATTGACAATTCCAAACCACCACCAAGTGCCAGCCCCGCTACTGCAGCAACTGAGGGCTTGCTGGCCTCTGTAAAAATAGCCTATATTAGATCTACTGAACAATGCAAAAACAGGATGAAACTCCAAGCAATGTTACGAATAAATTAATGTTTGAAGGACATAACAAAATCAAACAAACAAACGAAAAAGAAAAAGACTATGCTATGAAAAGCACTGTACCTTCAATTGTTTCTATCATAAGGTCCGTTGATACTTTGCTCAGATAACCGTTGGAACCTGCACAGAGGATGACACCAAGTACAGGAGAGTAACTACTGCATTCCTAACAAATCAAGTCCTTCAAAAATCAGCATTACTAGCTTTCAATTAACGTTCACTTGCCTCGTATCAAAAACCTACAAATGAACTAAGCCATTCAAACAGGTTTGAATTCTAGAATTTCAACAGACGTTCACAACTGACACTTACCGCCCTGCTGGATTTTTGGAAAAGCTGTAATGTCAAAACCGCCCGAAAATTTTCCATTGGCCCCTGCAACCACTCAGAAAAAAAGGGTTAAAACATCTTGCAAGTAGTTTCACAGCACAAATTACTTAAATACATGCAAAACGAATAACCATCCTCCCCGGAACAAAAACACTTCGGTCAAGGAAAACTTGTAAACTTGCAACCACTGAATGAAAAGTACCTGTCACAACAATGGCCTTGACGTCATCTCTTTTCGCTGCTTCAACGTACTTCTCCTTCAAACCCAACAGCACTGCACCAAACAAGTCGATTTTAATTTCCATGATCCATACCAACCGCATAGTTCTTAAAGAATCCAACTCTTATGCTTCGAAACCAAACTCAGGTCCAGATATCCTTGAAAAGGAAAAGTGAACAACACACTGCCTTTCAACTTCTCGAAATTTCAGTTAAAACAATCATTATATATTCCAAATTCTTACTTCCTCTGATTGAAAGTTTTGAGCATTGTAAGGCAGGTTATGATTCTGTTTTTGATCTTAGCAGCTTCAAAAATATATATATATACAAAACAGGATAATAAGTAAGTGTGCGACACGCATATCAGCTGAAAAGACATATTCCAAAATATGAGGCGATCATAAGAAGATCGTTGAATTTCGTTTCACTTCTATCATTTAACAAGGCTCATTACATCACATGCAACTTTCAAATAAACTTTCCAAACCTTCTTTTTCCTAGTCGTTTCTGAAACTCCATGCAAGGTATTCACAATCCCATGTTCACGAGAAAGGCTCATTCCGTTCGAACCCTCAAAAAATTCTATAAACCACCTAAATTACCTACTTCACACGCACAAAAAAATCTGCGCTGCACTAATTCCACACAGGAACTACACCACGTAACCGAAAAAAGAACTAGACTCAACGTGACTCGCAAGATTGTGTCTAAGCAACAATCCAAAAGTTTATCCTTCCGGCAACATGGAAGCTTGTCAGGGATCGAACAGCAGATCCAAGCAATACTAAACGCGTACGAAAAACTTGAAATTCTCTTTTAAACATACAAAAATTAAATACCAACTAGCACTTGCGAAATTCTACCCAACGTTCTCGCTGAAGCTCGAAAATATCAACAAACAACCCTCACGATATAATCAGCTTCTTTAAGAAAAAATCAAATCAAATACGCAATAACAAACAGCATGTACCAGGAAATAAATGAAATCCAAGTATGAAGGGGAGCTTAACCTCAAAACCCAAAAAAAAAAATGCTGAAAACAAAGTATACATCCCAGCCTGCAAAGATCGCGAAACGGATTCACTGACCGTCGATGGCCAAGGAATTAACAGGCGGGTTCTGGATCGTGATGACGGCCACTCCGTCCGCTCCCACCTCCATGTTCACGCTTCCCCCCATGGCTCCTCCTCCAAACAAAACCTCCAAAACTGGACCAAATCTCCGCCTCTTGCACTCGACAGCGGCTCAATTCCGCAACCAAAACAACTGTAGAAACGGAAATCCTCGCCTCGTTAAAATAGCCCGGCGCATGAAGAGCTTACAAAATCGCGAAGACGCTACCTCTACCTCCTCCTCCTCGAGACTCGCCGTGGCTTTTCTTCCTTCTTCCTCGTCGAGAAACTTACTCCGGACTCACAAACGAACGAAAATGGGGCACTAAATCACGCCACTCCAACTCCCTCTTCACACCGCGACCACGCTCCTCGCCCTGCTGACTGGACCGCTGACGTGGCCACGGCTTTCTTTCTTTTTGCAGCAAAACTATCCTCTGATATTAAATGGCCTGGCATCATCAGTGTGTAAACTTGAATAATATATCTATATATATATATATATATATATATATATAATTAGTATGATACCTCAACACTCACTCCATTCCATCTGTAATCTCTTGCCTTATATATATATATATATATATACTTAATTAGTGTGATACCTCAACACTCACTCCATTCCATCTATAATCTCTTGTCTTATATATATATATATATATATATATAATTAATTAGTGTGATACCTCAACACTCACTCCATTCTACGTGTTATTTTTTATACATTTCTACGTTTAGACTGAATTTGACAATAACACGTAGGAATATAAAATATATATATGTATGTATGTATTTATTTATTTATTTATTTATTTATTTTGTACGTGTTGATGTCAAATTCAGTTAAATACATACATATGTACTGGACTTGGAATCCTCTTTATTAACTTCTTTCCACGTGTTCGTTACTCAGATGCCAACTTGGCAAAGCCATTTGTTGATCGCAGGGTTCCACAACTTACTACGTCTCATTTGCCTCATTAAAAGCATCTTACACGATCGTGTGCAATTGAGTTTTGTTTATTTTTGAATCGGACACCAACATTTGTGCGTTGGAACGGCAGTAAAGCAAATGCCCACTAAAATTACTTTTTGTGACATTCTTAGGTGATTCAATTGTTTGGAAGTGCGCTTCATTGGTAAGATGAGCAAGGGGGCCAGTGAATTCGTGGAAACGTGTATTTGCTGAAATCCTGCATTAGAACGGTGGTCAAGCATCCCTATCTTCGGAGCAATGCCCACGTCGTCCGATGGACGGTGAGCTCTATCGGCACCGTCTATACTGGATGGGGACGGTTCCAACTATAGCGTGGCTTTCCCTTCTGAATAGCGTGTGGGGGACCACGGGTGGAGTTACCTTTCGTCAACAGCCCTGCTGGCTTCAGACCCCTCTATCTCTGGCCTCGATGGACTATGGACGGATGGATGTCTCGATGGTTGACATTCATCCTCACTCGTCATTTTATCGTCCAAATCGGGTTCCAGAACTCCGTGCACTTTGTGTTCTACGTCGTTGCATTGATTTCTGCGCATTCTCATGGCCAGTCAAAAAGTTTGAATTGAGTCACATGTCCAACATTTTCTAAGGGTGACATCCATGACGTGTCCTAACGTGTCCTTAGGAAAATCAACAAATTTTAACAATAACTTCTTTGTCACATCTTTGGTATATACAGTGAAATAGAATAAGAACTCCTAATATTGTGCATGTTTGAATTTATTCCTGAAACTTAAAAAGATCCTCATTTGTACTTGCATAAATATACATCCACATTTTTACCATAGGAAAAAGAACTCAAGGAAAATAATCTAATTTTTGATTGAGAAAAATCAAAAAATTAAATAAAAAAAGAAAAGGATATTTTAAAATTACTACACCAATATCTGTAACTTATTGTATAAACTAAAATGTTGTGGATTCCTAATTAGTGTGATGCACATTATTCACTTTTGCTACTATTATTCTCTTGAAGGATAAAGATGATGGTGCATTTTTTGTATAGTAATGTTGCTATAACATGAAAGGAAAAAAATAAGAATCATATTTTAAAAAGACATGGATAAAGAAAATGAGAGATAGTAAACATATTAATATTAATGATGTCGTTTTGTAAAAAAGATTCTATTTATTTTGTAGGAGCATAAGACAAAACAAAATAGATTAGAAAAAAATAATATAGACAATAATAGGATGAAGTTTCTAGCAAAAATTACCTTAAAAAACTAGAAATTGATATTGAGAGAGGACCAATTGTAAACCAAGGTCAAAATTACATCCTAAGTCACAAAATTGTACGCCTAGAATAATTTTGGAGTTCTTTTGTTGATTAGAGAGTAAGAATAGAAAGCATTCTTACTAAAGTTTGCTCAAGCATTGATTTTGGATTAATTAGATTGATATTGAATTGTTGAGAGCTTTTCAAAGTCTAAGGTGTCTTAAGTAATTTGAAGTATTGAGAAATAATAAAAAAAAAAACCTTTATATATTTGAAACTCTTACAAACATTGTCATCAAATAATAAGTGTAAATTTGTATGGTTGAAAATTAGCTAGTCTTAAGTATGCAATATAAGGCTAGGCCAAATTGAATGGTTAGATAGAGGATTATTGAAACTCAATTGGATTAGAAACTTAGAATTTGGATTTCAAGAGTTATTGAAAGTTTCTTTGATTTTGCACAAGTTTTTGGTCTAATTACAACAAAATTTTGTAAGCTTATAGTCAACTTAGGTTGAAACATTATTATGAAGTTTGAAGGCAATTAAATATTATACTAAGGAGATATTTCTATTAACAAATTAATAGTAAGATTAGAAAAAAGATGACAACCAACATCCAAATAAATTACAAGATTTTTTTCTCAATTAGTATGTTAGATTCTTTTTAGATTTTTTGTATTTTTTTAATTAATAAATTGAAATTTATACAAAATTTGAATTAAAATTAATAATTTAATTAATAATTATTGAGGTTTTAAAATTGATATAGATATTGGTTAGGATTGGATATCATTTGATTAGGATTTATTTAAAATTTGGTTAGGATATTTTTAAGATTTTTTTAGCTTTTTAGGATTTTATGACATTATTTTTAGAATTTTTCAAGAATTCTTTATAATTTCTTTATAATTTATTTTGGATTTTTCAAAAAATTCTTTATAGTTTCTTTAGGATTTTTTTTAAAGATTTTGTAGGATTTATTTGATATTTTTTTATAAATTATCTAATAATTATTTAAAGATTCTTTAAGATTTGATTAATGTTTGACTAAAATTATTAAGATTCAATTAAAATTTATTTAGAATTTTATTAGAATTATTAGATTCTTTTTTTGTTGCAAATATAAGTTATCTTTCATAGCTAGATACCTAATATGTTCTTAGAGAAAATAGCATATAATACAACATTGTCTCTTGATGAATCAGTCAAATTTGCCAAACAAAAGAATAGTATTTATTTGGGTCTAAGTCTAGTTTATTGTTTTGCAAGCAACAAGTATACTTGTTTTGAGAGAAACAAAAAGAACATCAAAAATTGAAGTTTTAGATATTAGATACAAGTTCACCAAGTAGAAGTGTAATTATCATTTTAATTATTCTACAAATTCCTTTCAGAATAAACTTCTAGAGGGGGATTCAAACTCAAGGAAAGACTAAGCGCATGAGCTTACATATTAGGGTCACTCAATTAATCGTAATCCAAACTACTAAAATACCAAGAAACACTACAATGCTTTCTCCCAGTAACACTACTCCTTCATCAATTGATAACCACAATGTGTAACCCTGCACTCTTAAAAGACTATTCAAAACACATAAATTCCATCCAACATCAAAAATAACAGAATTCACTCCAACCAATTTGGATTCACATAATTTCTATAATCACAGACTTCTTCTATCAAAACACACATACAACTCTCAATAAATAACAATCATAATCTTCCATCCATAATCAATCTTCCAATAACTTCTCATATAATTCAATCACATAGTATTCCAATTACATAATCGATAACTCATAAATCAATCTATGATTTATTCCACAAACTCACTTCTCAGTATTCAGAAACTATCTATTATTCTTCAACAACAAAGAAATAAAGAGGTAGCACCAAGCTTACCCCAGCTCATGACTATCACAGTCTGGCCCTAAGACTAACTTCTATAACTCATATATACTTACTCTATATTCCCAAATTCTAACTGTAATTCTATAATTAACTACTTTTAATAACTAAATTAACCATATATCTTCCTGAACTAACTATTCTATGGACTATTAGTCTATTTTACGAATATCTTATAAGAACGAACTAATATCTATTCTACAAAGCCTCACTCCTATCTGATCAGCATCCTTGCAAACACACAATTATTACCTTCCTAAAAACTACTTAATCGAACTTTACAAAATTACTATTTTCTCAGGCCCAATTGCACATTCCGAAAGTCTCTTATTCTTCTCGGTGTTCAGTAGATATCTAACTTCATCTGCTCCATATTGGTAATGATTATCACAAAAGGTGGTTTTGATGTACGTTGTCGTGTTGTAACACGACTATATGGTGAAAATATAAATAAAAAGGATTTTACTAATATTTAGTCATCTTTGATGTTAGAAATAGTGGCCAATTCTAGTGCCAATATTCAGGGGCCAGTTAATGTCACCCCATTGTAAGCTATACTACCATACGTGACATCAGCAATATGCTCCACCGGCGTCATCGAATCAAATAACCTCTGTACCAATGGAACAACCAGAATCATTTTCTAACCCTACATGGAACAAGCCTAGTAGGTATATATCGGTGGAGACACCTAATATGCCTAATGGAGGTGCAAGAAGACCACTTCGTTGTTTCCGTTATAAACAGATTGGTCATTATGCTAGTAAATGTTTGAATCCCAAAGCTAGTGACGATTACATGCCAGTGTGTAGGAATTGCAAGCAGTCGGGGCATACTTATCAGCAATGTTATGCTCCGTTCAATTTCAATAATCAAGATCAGTAGATCCAAAGCCAAAAAAAAATTGAGGAGATAAATCGAGGACCTCAAGATTATCCAATAAATCGGAGAGAATGTGTCGAAGCCGTTCTTATCAAGAGTCAGCAAAAGGAAAAAGGACCAATGCAACATTTGAGTGAGCTTGATGCAAAAGGCCAATTTGACCCAATTACAAGGACATGCAATCCAAGTCTTGTTACGGGCCTCTTATCCACTATGAGACTTGACTCAGTTGGGCAACCCAATGAGGTCCCAATTACGGAGGCTTCAGTTCCATTTCAAGCTGTTTTATTCTCTATGTTGTT